ATACCAGTTATTTACCAGGTCAATATCGGGTTCGGGTTCATATCAGTCAGATGCAGGTCGGGTTCAGGTCGTTCTCAAGTCGGGTGCAGGTCGAGTTCAGATCCATAATTTTCAGGTCCAACTCGGGTTCAGGTCAACACCAGTTCCGACTTGAGTCGGTTTCGGATCGGCACAGCGCAGGTCAAAAACAATTTTGACTCTAGTCGATTTCAGTAAGTTTTACAGATCGGATCAGCTTTTTACACCTCTCGCTCTTCCCTTCTAACCCCTTTGAGTTTGCTACTTAAAACTTGATTATATGATTATTATCAAATACCATTACATTATTATTATTTGCATTAGAAAACACTTCAAAAGAAGATTTAATTTACAATAATCAACAGTTTCAAACTAAAACTCAGAAATCAATTTTTTGGGGGAAAAGAGGAAACAAGGGAATAGAATCAGACTAGCCAAAAACTGCCGATCAAACCAAAGCCTTTTGCAGTGAAAAAATAAGTTAATAGTAAAGCACAAACAGGTAAATCTTGCTGACACTGAAACTAAAGAGTTGTAATCCCAGCCAAGTTTCTTCTAGGCTTATTTAGGATTCTATGTGTTCCAATGAAGGGTAGGAGTAGGGGTAGGGGTAGGGGGGGAGAGGACGGGAAAGATGAGAACTTTTTAAAATATTTTTTAATACAATAATTTATTCTTAGTTTTTTAAAAGTATTTTTCTTACCATTATTAGAATATGACCTATGCTATTTAATGAGATTTTTTAACCACGGTTATAACTAAAATTCTTAAAATATTAACATTTTATAACATTAGACATCTAAATGAATAAAAAAAATTAAATACCTGTTTGACAAAAACTATGTAATTTACACACTTATTTTCTAATTAACCCTATACTAAAACTAGATCCACACTTTCCAAGTTAATATTTTATTAAGCCATAAATTATCATATGAAAAAGTAGAATAATATTAACTAAACTTAAATTTTTAAATTGAATCAAAATAACAATAGAAAAACTAAATTCAAAATATACAAAAATACGTTAATTTGTAAGATATTTTAAATTACTAAATTTTTTCAGGGCATAATATCAAAATTAGCCCTCAATATTTATTGAGAAGTCATTTTAAACTCTATTCTTTTTATGGAGTATTATGACCATAATATTTTATTTTCGGTAAAAATATTCCTAATATTTGTTTAAATAATCATTCCGGTCCTTATTCATTTTTTAAAATATTTTGATCTTTAATGTTTTATTTTGAGTAAAAAGAACTCTTATTTTGAATCGTTAATCACTTGTTAACGGCATGAACAAAACAATCTTAGTGATAAAAAAATTGATTTTATTTCTTGAGGTCCAAATATTGTCTACGTGTCGACATTTTTATTATAAAATAAAATATTAAAGATTACATTGTACTTTATCAAAAGGAAAGCATATGGACTAGATCTCCAATTTGAGTATAGTGTAGGGTGAGTGGAACACGCCAAGACCAAAATCAATGCACTGTGTGAAGTAATGGGGAGACCTTAAAGTTGTAGTGCGTGTGAGGGAGAGTGATATTTGATAGGTTTTGGTCTACAGCTCTGCTAAAAGATTTAGGTTGTCTCAGGAAAGATATATTAAGATACGTCTAAGAAATAACGTAATCGAAAATTTAATAAGATATTTAATAAAGTTTGTTTAGTATTATCAAAAATATTGAGTAATAATAATGTTGTAGGTGAAAAATATGATGAAATATAAAAAAATTTGACAACCGGAAAACTTAGCTTATCGGTATGTATCGATACCGTTCACATAAATATTGATATATATAGTAATATATAAGAAATTGATGAAAACTGGTTAAAAGTAGACATGTATCGATACCTTTATAAGTGTATGTAAAAATGTCCCGATACTTTAGTGATTCACAATAATTAAAATAAAAGTGCCTATAATGTATCGATACATTACACACATGTATCGATACATGAGAATATAACATGTTGAAATTTGAGAAATTCGGATTCAATTTGACAAAACAGTTAATGAATTGGACAAATCGGATTGGAAATTGACAAAACCGGTTGAAATTTGACAAAACTGGTAAAGAGCTATCAGAATTGTTGAAATTTGTATTAATATGTGTATAAGTATATGTACCAAAGTATCGGTAACAGGTTAAAGTTTGACAAAATCAGTTTCAGTTTGACAAAATCGGTAGAGATACCAAAATGGTTGAAATTTGTATCGATAATTTTCTAAGTATATGCACCAAAGTATCGATACTTTAGGAATTTAAAAGAATTGCAATAATAGGGCCTATAAAGTATCGATACTTTAGACACATGTATCGATACCTTAGACACATGTATCGATACATGTCAATATAACATGTTAAAATTTGACAAAACCGATTTTAATATGACAGAACCGGTAAAACACTATTAGATATGTTGAAGGTATCGATATTTTTATAAGTATATGTATCATAGTATTGATACTTTAGGAATTGAAAAAAAATGAAAAAAAATGAAAACGGATCGAAAGTATCAATACCTTACACAAAAGTAATGAGACTTGGGTAATTGTATCAATTAAATATAAATAACGTATTCGGTTAAAATATCAAATGCATAGCTACATTTCCTCTTAAATAGATGGAAGATGACCGTAGTTTTCGAAATCAAAGCGTATTAGTTGTTGCGAAATAGAATCAAGGCGTTTTTGAAAGTGTAGTTATTTGTTTATTGCTGCAATCGAATCGAAAGTACGTTGTCGAAACCCTATTTTTTTAGTATTACAGTAATAAAAAATAGGGGTTAGGTTTATGAGTTTGGGGTTTTCGAAGTAAAAAAATATTTGAGACCGACTACAATTCTAAAGTGATATTATAGGTAGAAAATAAATATCGATACTTTTATATAATATTATAGGTAGAAAATGATATTGTATGTTGTATAAAGGTACCAGTACTTCTAGTAGAGAGTATTCTTATTCCTTTGAAGGAAATCGTATTTTTATAGTATTACAATATTCAAAAATAGGGATTATGTTTATGGGTTTGGGGTTTTTGAAGTAAAGAATAATTTGAGACCGATTACAGTTAGAAAGTGATATTTTAGGTAGAAAATAAATATCAATACTTTTATATAATATTATAGGTAGAAAATGATATTGTAGGTTATATAAATGTATCGATACATGTAGTAGAGACTACTCTCATTCCTTTGAAGGAAACCGTTTTACTATAAGATTAGTTATTATTACTTGTATATTGAATAAATTGTATGTAACTTGTATTTGATTTGATTTGAATTAATTTAATGCTTGAATGTTCATAAACTGATATATGAAAAATGAAGTCAATGGATCTTGCAATTGTTGTTCGCGAAGATGAAATTGAAATGTAGTCTGAAAGTATCAACAATGAAGTAAATTGAAAGCAACCACTGGGTGTATATATGTACTTATAGCAATTATCAATGTATTTGTGTAATTTTTGTTGAAATGGTAATTGAATTAAAGTATTTAAGTATTTTAAATTGATTACAAATTTTAAATGTTGACAGTATGACTAAATGCCAAATGATGAAAGAAGCTGGTAATTACAACATCTGTTCGGTATGTAAACTGAAATTGACATTGAATATTACTTAGTGTTAATTTATTGATTAAAAAACGTTTATGCTTAATTTTAGGTTAATAACAAATCAAATAATTAACTGATTATGTTATCCTCAGATTTCTAAGGCTCAATTAGCTTAAATTTTGGTAACATTTTAGGCGTTACCTAATATGTTGATAATACTAATAATAAATTAAGTAATTAACATATTTTGTTATCGTCGGATTTCTAAGGTCTCATCAGTTTTAAAAAGGTGCTACCTATTACGTTACATAAGCGCTACCTAATATGTTATTATGGTTGATAACAAATCAAATAATTAACCGATTATGTTATCATCGGATTTCTAAGGCTCTATCAGCTTAAACTTTGGTAACATTTTCAACGTTATCTAATATGTTGATAATACTAATAACAAATTAAGTAATTAACCTATTTTATTATCGTCAAATTTCTAAGGGCCCATCAGCTTTAAAAATACTCTATCTATTACGTTACATAAACGCTACTTAATATGTTATTATGGTTGATAACAAATCAATTAATTAATCGATTATGTTATCGTCGAATTTTTAAGGCTCCATCAGCTTAAACTTTTGGTAACATTTTAGGCATTACCTAATATGTTGATAATACTGATAACAAATTAAGTAATTACCTATTTTATTATCATCGGATTTCTAAGGCTCCATCAGCTTTAAAAAGGTACTACCTATTATGTTACATAAGTGTTACCTAATATGTTATTATGGTTGATAACAAATTTAGTAATTAACCAGTTATGTTATCGTTGGATTTCTAAGGCTCCATTAGCTTAAAATTTAGTAACATTTTAGGCGTTACCTAATATGTTGATAATACTGATAACAAATTAAGTAATTAACCTATCTTGTTTTCGTCGGATTTCTATGACCCCATCAACTTAAAAAGACGGTACATATTATGTTATATAAGCGCTAACTAATATGTTATTATGATTGATAATGTTTCTAGTAATTAACCGATTATGTTAAAGTCAATATTTTTTTTTACGTATTTTACATACGACTATAACATTTCCGATTATTACCATTATTATTACCAACTCAAATAATATTTCCAATAAAATTATATAATATTTTTAATATCAATTTTAAATGATCACTTATTTAATTAATCACACTATTTTTTAATCATATTTTAACCTCATCACACCAGAACTTCACGAAAGATTTGCTTTAGATATTAAAAAATTTAAGCATATATCATACAGTTCCAACATCTAACTACTAGTATACCCTTCCATCTCTGCTTTAAATGAGGACCTCATGGCCCCCGCTCCCTATTTGGCAACTCAGTACACAGTAGCTGCTTGCGTGCTGACTGCTGCCACTGTTGCTGGCGCCGTTTCCCCATTTTCCTCCTTTTTTTAGTCCCATTTCATTGATCATTGGTCACTTTTCTTTTTACCCTTTGTTTTTCATAAATCTTCTGACAACCTCAACTACTTCAGCTAACAGGGAAAAAGAACATGGTGAAATTCCCTTATACCTTAATATTTTCATGTCATGGGATCCTCGTATTTGATTCAACTAATATTGGGTTTTGTTTTATCTTTTGAAATTTTCTTACAGCTTGGTCCAACACCAATTTCTAACTGGCTTGGAATTCTCCTGGGAGAAAAATTCTTTGATCCTTGTATTGTTCATGAATCTGCCAAGAAAAATGACAAGAACGTTTTTTGCTTGAATTGTTGCATTACCATCTGCCCCCATTGCTTGCCCCTTTACAGTCCTCATCGTCGCTTACAGGTTCACTTATCTATGATTGTGAAAAAAAAATCTCTACTTTCTTTAACATCAAATGCCCTTTTTTTGGTTTTATAGATAAGGAGATACGTTTATCAAGATGTTATAAGGCTAAGTGATGCTCAAAAGCTGATAAATTGTTCTCTTGTCCAAGTAAGTAAAATAGATTGTTGAATTATGAATGTAAAATCTTTATTTGGAGCTCAATTGTTTTCAATCCCACAGCCCTACACAACAAACAGTGCCAAAGTAGTGTTTTTGAATGAAAGGCCAATGTCTCGCCCTTTTAGAGGATCTGGTAATTTCTGTATACAATGTGATCGCAACCTTCAAGACCCATTTCTCTTTTGCTCCATCTCTTGCAAGGTTTCATCAGTCAATCACTGTTATAATATATTCATGAGTAAACTACACTTTTACCACTTAAACTATTAATTTTGTTTTATTTTGGTATCTAAAATTTACTCTTTTTTTTTCAAAATCACATCTAATATTTACTTTAATTTAAATTTAAATTTGATACACTTCTTTTAAAGAATTAAGAGAATGATTGATGTGACATTTTTTAATATTTTCAATGATCACATGTTATTATCTTATATTGATATTTTAACATCACCGTTACTTAAATGAAACTTAAATTAATATTAGATATGATTTTGAAAAAAATTAAGTTTAGGTATCAAAATGAAGCAAAAGTAATAGTATAGGCACTAGACATGTATTTTACCCTTCACCGTTAATCTCTTTGTTGTGATTGTTTAAACTATAAAATTTCCACTACACCACAACCAAGCAGGTCAATTACATAGAGATTGCCAAACCTGGAGGGAAGTTAGACCCAAGCAATGAACTACTAACATTTTACTATAAAACAAGAACTGATGTTAGCTTCCTAGAGCTTGAAGATGATCCTCAAATGAGTCCTTGCAAGCCATTATCACTTGTTCGTGCCACAAATGAGTTAGTGAAGAAGAAGAACAACAAGGTCAAGAAACGAAGCTGCATTTTAATTCCTCAAGCTGAGAGTATTAGCCGCAGGAAAGGTGTGCCTCATAGATCACCTTTGAATTGAATGCCATAGGAAAGAAAAAAATTACTAGTAATGATGCCTTGAAAAGCTCAATGTGTTGTGCGTTTTTAGTAGGAAAATGAAAATGATTTGTGGGGTAAGTTTTGACATGACTGGAAATTAATGGCTGCCCCATTTTTGTCGAGTGTAGTACTTTAAATTTAAACTATATATATATATATAACCTAATGTTATAATAATTTTCAGAAAATATTGGCATTCTTCATCTTAGGATTTTCGAAAATTCTAAAATACAATTTGTAATTATGTGATTAAAAAATTAATAAAATATAATTGAAAATATTTTTTTTATAATATTTAACTTTTCTATAGTTAAAAATATTATAAATTTAAACGATTTTTTTGGGTTCAACAAAATAATATTTTAAATTAAAATTATCTTAATTTAATTTTAAACTATACTGTTGAACATTAAAATTAACCAATAATTTGAATAGTGTTATTTTGGTGTCCATCGGTGGATAATGTATTGGTTAAAATATACATGGAATTGAGGTGATTTTACTAAAAAATCACCCAAAAAAATTAAAAAACACCATATTAACAACCATTCTTGAAATTTTACTAAATTAACATCCTTTTCAAAATCGAGGTAAAAAGATGGGTTTCTACGACACACTTTGCCTATGTGGCAAGAAGGCGCGTTTCACATGACATTTTCCTTGGAGTTGACAATACACGCAAGAAGCTCGTATCATAGGGAGAGCTTTAAATCATATTCAAGAAAAAAATACTTTAAATCATTCTAAAAAAATAAAACTATATGGATCAACAGCGTAATTTAATACATATTGGTTCCATGAGATTAAAAGCCTAATAGTATTAATTTATATAAATATATTGAAGTGTTTAAATTATGTTTGTTAACAATGTGAGATAAAAGGTAAAAAATGTATTCCTTCATTTTTTTTTATATTATCTTATATATAATGAGTCCACTTTTACACTATTATTAAATTTTATTAGGTTAATATTTATTATTAAAGTTTATAATAATTAAAATTAAATTTTTCTTAGCTCTCCCTATGAAACGTATCTCTTGCGCGTACTATCAACCTCAGAGAAGGCGTGCCCTATAAAATACACCTTCTTGTCACATAGACAAAATGCATTGCAGGAAACACATTTTTTTATCTCGATTTTGTAAAGAGTGTTAGTTTAATAAAATTTCAGGAATGTGTGCTAATATGCTGTTTTTGTTTTTTTCTAGTGATTTTTTAGTAATATCACCTGGAATTGACCATTCCAAAAGGATGTTGGTTTGCGGGAAAACGAGGTTCTCTCATTTGCTTGGAGAAAAATGGGTTTCATTAAGAATGTCTGTCACTTCTCAGTCCGTTTGCAAAGAGTTATTTTCTTTTGCTTTCAAGATTCTTAGATAAAAAAACTAAAAGGTGCTATCATCTGCCTTTTCGGTAGAGTTGACCGTATGGCCATTTGAATTTTAGGTGACATTCATTGTCACATATCAATTCAATTTCAATTACCATCTTATGGCAAATTGGAATACGGCAATAGCAAAATGTCAAATCAATAACCAAGGCATTAACAGTGAGGTTTAATTGGAAGATAACTTGAACAGTTATACACGGTATAACCTAAAATTTAAGATTAAAAATGACAAAAATACGATGCAATTGAAAATAGATAAAAGAATATAACATTTTAGTTTCAACATATCTTAAAATATTTAAAATATTATATTTTTATAATATTTTCAATTGTAACATAAAATATTATATTTGTATCACATTTTCGGTTGACTTCGTAAATTATAACAAAAAATATTATAAAATTTTTAACCTTTTACGTTATATTTAACTTAAAGTACTATACTTTTTTATCACATTTTTGACCGTGTTTCATTTCCATTATTTTTTTAATCTTAAATTACGCTACCTTTTTTTAGACTTTCTCGTATAGCTCACGCACCTGACAGTAGCATCATGGCCATGGGAATTGGAAAGCCAGCAAAGCTAAAGCTAAAGCTAATACAAATTTCCATTTTTAATTTTGTTTCCTACTTCTTTCCAATGCATGAACACGTGACATTAAGGGGAAAATTTTGTAGCTTTTTAACTGTTTGTTGAAAATTGACACCCTTAATATTTGTGCATCTTCGTGTTCCCTAGCCTGCCTTCAATCTATTAATTTGCATAGTTTCATTGCAAATAAGAATGGGACAGCACCACTATAGAATATGGACCATGGTATTTCCGCATATGGTTAAGTATTTCAACTCCATTTTCGTCTTATTTAATCTTCAGTTGATATGCTTCTTTTCCTCAGTGGAATGAGATTAACACCTGATCTACCACGACCTTGGAAAAATTGGACCTGTAAGAGATACTTTTATCATTGATTAGTGTATTTGATGACTTTTTTTATACCATTTATTGTCTTTAATTATCGTAACGGTCCTTCGGGTGGTCCCGAGTTCACATTGTGACTTGATTTGTGTGATTGAGTCGTCACCGATCACTTTCAAATTAAGTGGATTGGGTACTTTTGAACTTACCACTTACCGGGTCTGCATCTTACTAGAGATTTGTTGAATTCGGGAGTCGATTACAATCGAGGAAGGATGAGCACCCTTGATTTTCCCTTTCGACACCACACGGTTACTCGATCATCTTAATTGTAAATAAAAATTTGAAAATCGATTCATATTACTTACCCTAGACGAACTTTTGAGATTTAAACAGGTTCCTTAAAAAATAAAATTAATGTTAAAAAATAAAATAAAAGAAATAAGTGATTAAATACTGCAAAACAATAAAAAAATATAAATGTTTCAATTTAGAAGAATAATAAAATAAAAAACCATGGATTAAATTGCATTAAAATTTAAACTTCAGGGCGAAATTACAAAATCAGTGACTAAACTGAATTACGTATCAAAGTATGGGGAACTGTAGAAATAATTAAAGAATCTTATAATTACACACGTGATCCTCCTATAAATAACCCATATTTTCCTTTTTTTAATTAATTTGTAACAAGTACTTAAAAAATATCTCTATATTCTCTCAATTCACTCTCCCCATTCTCTAGAAACCGATCACTCAGAACTCACTGGACCACCATCCGGGCATCGCTCTGACCATTGCCCACGGTGGTAGGAGACCTAAAATCTATCCTAAATTATCCCAAATTTGGCCTCCAAACACCTTAAAAACATCCTAATGGTGTAGATCTCACCATGCAAGTCTCGATTTTCTTACCCTTTTGATGTTGTGTCTTTAACTTCTCAAGGACCGTTCGTCCTCCACGGGAAACCGAAATTTAAGTAGTTTCTCTCCCTTCTTTCTTTGAGTTTATGTATATTTTGGTTTTCAAATGCTTTCCATTGATGCCTTCTTCTATTCTTCATAGGGTTTTTATAGTTTATGGAGGAACAATTCTTTCCTTCAATGTGAGATCTTTGACATCTCACTCTATCCTTAAATTGGTGGGATACGGTGGAACAGGGAGCATCTTTTCCTTTTTCGATGGTTTGTTGCATGCATATTTTGGCTGATTGACTTCTGTTTTTATATTTTTTTGTTTTTGTTGATTGAGTCGGTCTTGTAGGTTAAAAGGATGTTTCCTTTTTCATATTTTGGTTGTTCTTTTAATTTTTGCCAAAGATTTGGGGAAGAAATTTGCTTCCTTTTTCTTTGATTTACTTTGATTTGGTTATCAAAATTATCTGAAAATGCTTTTATGTCTGGCATCCTTTGATGTCTTCTGGTGTGATCTGAATCGTTAGATCAAGAGGACCAGATCTAATGGCCCTTGTTCGGTTGCGCATGATGAAATGCTTCTTTAGGGTTTTAAAACCCTAAATTGCTTTGATCTGGGCCCTAGATTAGCCTTGTGATCAGACAATCCTCTTTCCTATAACGCTTGAATTAGTGCTCAAGCCCTAGAGCTTTAGTAGGGGGTATTCTACTGGGTCAGACAAATGGGTTCTCGTTTGGGCTGCTTGCTGCATGCTTGGTTGGGCCTTTGGCCTTTGCTTTTTATGTACTGGACCCTAAACCTTAACTTAGACTAGATCTTCACATGGACTTAGACCTTTGGACCATGACTAGACTTTTAATTGGACCTAAAAATAAAATTAATAATATATATTAATATATACTAAATATATTCTTAAGTATATATACTATACTATTTTAAATAATAAAATATATTTTTAAAATAATATACCTACTACTATATATATATTTTCTAAATATAATATATATATATATATATATATATATATATATATAATATATAAAAATTATTTATATTTTCAAATATTATATATAGAACATACTATATAATATACTATACAAATATATTATATATAAATACTATATTTATAAAATACTAAATATAATTGAAATTTGAAATAAATCTCTAGACGAAAATATGTGTTACAACTGCTGCTCTTTGTCCATTATTGTGTAGCGAAAATAGGAATAAGATAAAAAAAAGCACAAAATTTTGTTCGATATTAAGATGGATCGACTCTAAATGCAAGCATGCTCCCATGGTGTCGAGGAATCCAATTGTTCTTCAAGAATCGAATTAAATCTGGGTGACTCCCATCCGTGGGTTAAGTTAGGTGAAAACTTGTTCATCGTGCTGAGTTAAAGCTAGGGTTTCTTTGAGCTAGATGTGCTTCTCGTTGTTGAGTTGAGCTATGCTGCTAGTGAATCCTCTATTGCGAGATAAGTCAATGTTGAATGTTCTTTGAGCCCGATATCCTTCGTCATGAAGTTAAAATCTGACTTAGAACCAGTCGGAAAATATCTACTCGCTGTTGAATTAAGCTATGTTGTAGACGACTCCTCCATTGTAAGTTAAGTCAGTCTTGTATGATTTGAGCCTGATATCTTTTTTTGTGAAGTTGAAATCTTACTTTGAAATCTTCATATTCCGATGCACTCACTCATCCTTGCTTTCATTGATGAGACAAGTATCTTTGATACTTTGACAAGATAAGATTTCATTGTGGACCCACATCGAGCTAAAGACATCATTGGACGACTTTGAAATTTGAATAGAAACTCTTACGACATGGGATATCTCCTTTGATGTTTGTATGGAAGAAAAAATGACAAACTAATATACA